GGGCGAAGAGGATCCTGGCACTCTCCCGGGAGGGAGGGCAGGTATTGACTGCCCCTCTGATCCCCCCCGTGACCGCCTTCCCCCGTTGCTTCGTCCGGCCCGAGAAGGTCCAGGGGCGTCCCGCAGGGGCGCCGTTCCCAGCCCTGTCCTCGAGGATGCGAGAGCCCCTGCCCTTACCAACACGATGAAGGCGTGGCCTCACTGAGGTCCCCGTCTTTGCACCGGGGATAAGCATTCTGGACGGTTGGGTTCGATGCGTCTGCAGAAAAAAAAGGTCCCCTGCAGTCAAAGCTCGCAGTAAGGACGCGCGGATGTCCTAGGATACCCTTGCGTCCTTGCCTCTGCGGCCCGTCCGTCGCGGCTTACAATGGCCAGCCTGTCGGGGTGGTTGCGGTCCGCCGCCCAAGAGGTGCCAACTTCGGCGTCCAAGGCCCTTGCGTCCCTAGCGCCCGTCCTTATTATAGATAATGACTGTGTCCATCGTGTTTTTGGCCCTCCCAACTCGGGTCCCCTCCCAAAGGGTTTGGGGTCCTGTTAGTGCTAATCCGCCTGGGCCGGGGCGCTGTCCTTCGCCAGGGGGCGGCGCGACGACCAGCGCGGTCCGCAGAGCGTGGGTCGTGGACTTGGGACACCTGGCCATCTCCTCACCCTCCTATTCCCCCTCCTCCCTCCTCCTCCTCCTCCTCCTTCCTCCTCCTCCTCCTTCTCCTCCTTCTCCTCCTTCTCCTCCTCCTCCCCCTCCTCCTCCTCCTTTTTCTCCTCCTCCTCCTCCTCCTCCTCCTTTTCCTCCTCCCTTTCCTCTCCCCCCCCCCTCCCACTTCTCCTTGACTGCCACGGCCGCGGAGTGTGGCGCGCAGGACGGCATGTTGTTGGTGGCAATTCTCTGACAGCTCTTCTGGCGGCCGTTTTCAAGCGCTACGCGTTACACGCCTCGGTAGTTTGGCTTGTCGCTGTGCGCTGCGGGTCCTGGCCTCCTAGCCTCCTCGCCCTCACGCAACGTGGCTCTCTATTACGAGGGCCCCTCTGGTGTGTCCTTAGCTGCTGCTTGCAAGGCGGAGCTCAGCCACGCCCAGGAGCACGAGGGGAGGCGGGAGGCGCGGCGCCACTGCACGGCTGCCGGGGCGAAGGCGGACAGCGAGTCGTTCTGCTGGAACCCGGACGCGCCTGCGGTCGCACCCTCGGCTGGAGCTTGGGATGTGTGGCAAGGGCTTCGCTGTGTTGGTGTGGCTCCGCTGGCTTTTCCTCGTGCGACCTCTCGCGGGGGCGGTGCAGCAGCTTGAGCGCATGTTTGGAACCCGGGAGGCGCCCGAGATCTCACCCTCGGCTGGAGCTTGGGATGTGTGGCAAGGGCTTCGCTGTGTTGGTGTGGCTCCGCTGGCTTTTTCCCGCGTGCGACCTCTCGCGGGGGCGGTGCAGCAGCTTGAGCGCATGTTCGGAGCCCGGGAGGCGCCCGAGATCTCACCCTCGGCTGGAGCTTGGGATGTGTGGCAAGGGCTTCGCTGTTTTGTCGGGGGTGGATAGACCTCCTACCCTGACACGTCGATTAGTGAATTGGCCGTTTTCGGTTCGCGAGAGGGCGTCGCGGCCGTTATTTTGCGGGTCCAGGTCCGTCGGTTTCGGTCCCAGGCCGTTTTCACTAAAGGGAGGTTTACTAAGGGGAGGTTTTTGTCCACCGCCGATTTTGGTGTGGCTCCGCTGGCTTTTTCCCGCGTGCGACCTCTCGCGGGGGGCGGTGCAGCAGCCGGAGCGCGCACTGCTGAGCGGGCGGCGGCCGCCGAGGCCGACGAGAGGCCCCCCCGAGGGGCTCCCGCGGCCCCGCCGCGGGTGCGCGCAGGGCGGCGGCCGCCCAGGGGGCCCCTCTCCGGGGGGGGGGGGGCGTCTGCCCCTCCGAGGGCGCCGCGGGCGCTGCCGACGTGAAGGCCCCTGCAGGGGATGGCTGCCCCGCCGAGGGCGCCGTGGGAGCTGCCGCTGCGGAGGCGGAGGGTGCCGACGCGGAGGCCCCTTGCGGGGGACGGCTGCCCTGCCGCTGGCGGTGGCCGCGCCGCTGCCGCTGCCGTTGCCGCAGCCCGCGGTCGTGGCAGAGCGCTTCCTGCTGGTCGATTCGGCGCCGTTGTCGGCCTCGAGCGTGCAGCAGAGGTGGCCGCCGAGGGCAGAGGGCGCATGTCGGCCTCCCGAGCGGGGGGGGCACACGCCACGGCAGCCAGATCTCAACGTGGGCGAGCTGTTCCGTGGCTTCGCGACGGTCACGGCGGAGATAGCAAGCTCCGCCCCGCCCGCACCTTCCGCGGCTTCTGGTGTTGGTGGCCGAGCGCAAGCAGATGTGAAGCTCGGCGTCTCGGACGTCTTCGTGATGTAGCACGAGGGTGGTGCTGCTTGGAACCCCTCTTCATCGTCTTCCTGCCCTCCTTCGCAATCAGCTACGTGTTCGTCTTGGTCGGCTGCGAGGCCAGGGGGGGGCGAGGCGCGCTTTTGATCACATCGTGATTGGGTCTCATCTCAT